GCAAAGAGACTCGGCTTGCTACACGATTTAAATTTTGTTTTCACTTTCTTATCTGGATAAAGGTTGATAGTTAAATCAGCAGGGGCAGGCAACTTTATTCGGTAGGCATTGATCCACCTGGCAAGGTGGATGCTTTTGAAAAAGGAAAAAACAGCTGCTAGAGGTTGGTATGGAGAACCAGTAGGTGTGGCAGAGCTTAACTTCACCCTGCCAGTTGTTTTCTCCTTGAAATCACACTCCACCCAGCTGCTTTCCCTCTTCAGGTAGAAGTACTAGCATATTTTTCCCCTGCAAAAGGAAAAGCCATGCTGGGTTTGGGGCACTTTTGAGTGGAAAAACAACTCTCTTAGAAGGAGTTATGCATCTCCTGCCTATTTGCTGCCTCTCCACTCATAATTGCAGCCTCCATAAGTTTCTTTAATTTTTTAAAAAATAGAGGAAAGCTACACAAAACTATACATGATTAATAGTTTAACCCTAAGACTTCCACAAAACATCATATCTCATGTCCCCCACCACACACACACCAAAAAGCAGATAAACAGTTAATACTGTATAATATTTCTGTGACCCATCTTAACAAGGACTGGACCTCTGGGAAATTCATTTTATTCAGAGAATGGGAAGTGGCTGGCCCAAAAATGGAAACGAGGAGTTACCGACCCTTGAAGAGTGGAGAAAGAAACTTACGGACTATGCAGAACTGGACAAATTGACTGGGAAGATCAGATATCAACGGGATCACAAGTTCATCGAGGACTGGGGAAAGTTTACAGATTATCTGAAAAGCATATGTGACGAACAAACAACGCTAGTGGGATTTAAAGAGGCTTTGTGAAGTTAAAGGTGTATTGTAAAAAAGAAATAGAACTGTAAGGATAATATTAAATGGCAATATCAAATATAGAGAATGTGTAAAAATTGAAAATATGGATGATTGGCGGAGAAGCTGGTGGAAGTCCAAAAAGCTGAAATTTGTGAAAATTGTTTGAGATGGCGAATTTGTAAAAGGAAAATTTAATAAAAATTATAAAATAAAAAAAAGAGAATGGGAAGTGGCTAGCTGCATTAATTTAAAGTCCATTAGTCAAGTATACATTTAAAAAGTCAGTCAGTCATCTGTAGTATCCTTTTGTGTATGAACAGACTGCTCTGCCTCTGGTGTGCTGCCACCAAATGATTCTTCCCTTCCAGCAGCTCTCCTGTGAATAGGACTCCAGTTTGTAGGAAAGCTGCGTGTGGCTATCGGCAGCATACATAAGGGGTCAAATACATTGGACCTTTATAGTGTGATCCTATATGTCTTTCCTTAGGGACGCGGGTGGCGCTGTGGGTTAAACCACAGAGCCTAGGACTTGCCGATCAGAAGGTTGGCGGTTCGAATCCCTGCGATGGGGTGAGCTCCCGTTGCTCAGTCCCTGCTCCTGCCAACCTAGCAGTTTGAAAGCACGTCAAAGTGCAAGTAGATAAATAGACACCGCTCCGGCGGGAAGGTAAACGGCGTTTCCATGCGCTGCTCTGGTTCACCAGAAGCGGCTTAGTCATGCTGGCCACATGACCCGGAAGCTGTACGCTGGTTCCCTCGGCCAATGGAGTGAGATGAGCGCCGCAACCCCAGAGTCAGTCACGACTGGACCTAATGGTCAGGGTTCCCTTTACCTTTATATGTCTTTCTAGGAGTGGTTTCAGTTCAGTTTGATTTTCCAAGTGAGTTTAGGATTGCAGCCTTAGCATAGTTAGTAAGCACAGTCAGTTCTAAATCAGATTTTCCAAAAAGTTACTGAGCGGTGATACAAAGGTGATGATTAGTCAGGAAGTTGGCAGAAAATTCACACATGGTTAAGTGAAAAGAGTGCAGAAGAGGGAATTTCAGCAAGCGTAGTTTGCAAGTCAAGTGCAGGTACCCTGCTCTCCTTTCCATCTGGACACCCTGAAGAGAATTCCAAAGTATTTTTAATAATCCCCCACTCCCTGAAATTAGAAAATTATTTTTGCAAATAAAACTATGGGGGAGGAAGAAAGGCATGTAACCAGCCTCAAATAACCAGCATGCTTTAGTCTAATTAATGCATGAAGGGGTTAAGACCATAGCATAAGCTGTCCTGCCAGGCTTAGCTCACCTTAGTAGGCTCTAGGTCAGTGTTCCCCAATTAGCTAAGTACTGCAGACCTTCTGTTTTTCAAAAGCCAAGCCATGGATCCCCTACTTTTGAAAATGCTAATATTTCTGTGGTAGTTTTTGTTACGTGAATGGTACTACCATACCATCCAACATGTCCCAGTGCAAAACTGGGATTCATGGCTTCTGGGCCATGTTCTTGCACGAATTACGTGACCCGTGCAAGAGCACAGTACCCCAAAATGTGCATTTTTGGGTGCCACAATCTTAGGCGTTTTTGGGGCACTGTGCTCTCGTGTCTATATTTTCTATAGCACATTTTAATGGAGAAAGTGTATTTAAAGTCTGATTCTGATGCACTGTTCCAGCAAAATTTTGCAATGCATGGTATTGAGACTGTGTGGATATAATTCATACAACCCTATGTTTACTCAAAAGTAAGACCACTTTAGTGTGGGCCTGCTCGCAGGTAAGTGCACATTGCATCCTTACAGTGCTATCCTAAACATGAATACTCAGCAGTAAATCGCAGTGAGGTCAATGGGGCTTACCATTAGGTGGGTGGATTGCAGCCTTTGTGAGTCACTGGTTGAGCTGTGATGTTAATCCCTAGAATGAGTATTGCAGATTTACATACTGTAGAACAGTAATGCAAATTTAGGCTGTATTTTAGTTTTGACAGATTTGTGTCCATATGACGCTTTTCTTTTCAAAATAATGTGTAGCAACATACTTGTTGCTACAGCTGAAATACCTACACACACACACAGTCTCCTATTTTGTTATACTGATTCTAGTTACTGAATATGGAGCAAAGTCATTCTTAATTGTTCAGTCTCAAAACGCCTTTGTTCATGGCATCCAAGGGTACCGTAGAAAATATTTATTTAAAGTTTACTCAACTTGTTTCAAAGGTATTTAGTTTTGTCTTTCCTTTAATAGGAAATTAGTTGTATGTGAATGATAGCCAACTAAGTAACTGATTAGACCCATGGAAATCACTGAAATTAATTTAAACTCTGTAATTTCAATGGGTCTACTCTATGACTTACGTCTTTTGCCTTTTATGAAAGTTAGAGAAGGTCCTTGATAAAGGGTGATGTGTATAGTATGCCCTCTATAACATCTGTGAATGTTCTCTGCCTGTTTCCACACACCCACACCATGTTTTGAAATATATATTTAAACTAATTACTGTTGCTTTCTGCATCTGAAACTCCCAACAGCACAAGGACAGTGAAGCGTTAATTTCAGAGAGTGGCTGAGTATACAGCTGAATTTTCTGGAGCTGCAGTCAGCATGGGATCAATGCATAGCTTTTCAAGAAAATGCAACACTCCCTCGCCCCCATCCCTGCTAATGAGCAGCCAGGTAAGGTGAAACTGTTGTTTCCCCAGCTTGTTAGTGGAAGTAGTAAGAAAAGGCAGGCTAGTTTTTTCATACATTCCTTTTGAGATTCACCCAAGCAATCAAGGCTTTTGGCCAGAAACCTAAATAGCATCTCTGGTTTCATGGGCCATTTCCTCTCTGGATTTATCTGTAATGTACCCCTTCATTTGGGGGGATTAAGATTAAATGGCACTGGAAAATAAAACAAAGGCTGCCTCTGTCTAAACAAGGAGTGAAACATCCTGGAAACATCTTTTTGCACACTAAGAACCCACACTTAGCTCTCTCTCCACCTGACTTCCAGCTCAAGTTCCCACTGGCAATACTACAGTGAGTTGCATCTGAGGGGTGTTTGTGTTTTTGTGTGTGTGTGTGTGTGTGTGAGAGAGAGAGAGAGAGAGAGAGAGAGAGGGAGAGGGAGAGAGAGAGTATAGCTATGCAGCCAAGACTAAAAGGCAACAAGTTCTCAAAACCATATATCTAAAAGAAAGAGAAACAGAAGATTCACTTAAAATAAGTGTCATGTAAGGGTTCCTAGTTGTGGAACAGAGTGGAGTTCTGGGCCATTTCCTTCTTAATTCCACATGGATCATCTGAAATAGATTTCTACAGTAGCCCTTCAGGGCCTGAGACTCACATTATAGCATTTGTTAAATTACAAAATCTACATTAGGGCAACATCCTTATTAGGTCGACCAACATGTTACAAAATAGTGCACAAGTTTGTGAATTCCCGAGATCTCTACATAAGGGTAGATGCTGGAGCCACAGATGGAGTCTGCATTTAGGCACAACTTTAAGATGGTATGTAGGAGGCAGCTGACATTCAGCTGAAAGGAGTCTGTTAGGTGCTTTGCAGTTTCCAGATTGCACCCAGGAAGAAAAACTAACACCCCCCCTTTTTTTGGGTAAACATAAAACAATATTGCTCTTCAGCTGTTGCATTGGCAATCCTAAAATGCAACCTGGGAACATCTCGGAAGGGCTACAGCCTATGTGCTTTAAATGTATGTTGTGGTGGTGTGACCAAGGACAGGTAAGCCAAGTGCCTATCAAGGGGAGAAGTTCATAACCAGGACAGGAATGTAAGAGCAGCCCTTCTGTTGCTTATCTCCACTATCAATGAAAAGGAGCTGAAACAATTGCGCGGGAGAATTCTCATTTTGCAAACATTGATGCTGAGTATAGCATGCCGTCACTGCTTGGCTCTGTTCCCCCACCGCACCCACTTTCCCCCATTGTTTTCCCTTCACAACTGATGCCCCCGGCATTCTCCGCCCCCAGAATTTGAATGGGTGGGGATGGAGGGAGAAGTCTTGCTCATTTTCTTTGTTAGTTTAATATGCTTCCTCAATTAAAAGATTAACAATAGCAGGCAAGCTTCTGCCACCGCTGTCAGATCTCTTGCAACATACAGCCCGGAGGAGAGTGCCAGGTGTGTAGCGCTCTTCCATCCAAGAAACACATCCCAGGTGCTCCTGGGGGTGTTCCAAGCGTGTGTCCAATTCAGTCGGCAGAGCGTGAGACTTAATCTCACGGTTGTGGGTTCGAGTCCCACGTTGGGCAAAAGATTCCTGCATTTCAGGGGGTTGGGCTAGATGACCCTCATGGCCCCTTCCAAATACGATTCTGTGACACTGGCTGCGAGTTCCTTCCTGGTAACTCTGGTTAGGGAAGCCAGAGGTCCTGAGGTGCGCCTGCCTCCCTCCCCGCCCCCGCCGATCCTGCTGCGCCACCAGGGAGGTCCTGAGGCAGCGCTGCCTGCCCGGGCGGGGTAGGAAACTCGTCCTGTCAGGGCCCATCGGGATCCGTTGCAGTTTGGGCAAAGGGGCTGAAAGAGAAAGAGCTCCACGCCTCTCTCCCGTTCGGTCCCAGCGGCGCTTTGAGAGACAAGGGGAAAGGGGGAGCTCTCGCTTCTTCTAAGCGCGAGGCGAGAGAGATCCGCCCCCTTTTCCCGGGGCCCCGCCCTCTCCCCCTTCTAGCGGCCGCTTTTCTGCCTCTCCGGATCCGGAGTGCCGGGGGGCGAAACACACACACAAAAAGTGAGTCTGGCAGGGGCCGCTAGAAAAGAGAATGGCGGGTTGCGCGGGGGAGTAGCCTCCCCCGCTCCGGCTGTCAAGCCCTTGTCGCCTTCCAGGTAAGATGAATGGCCCCCCATCAATCATGCTTCGCAGATTCCGCTGGGCTACCAAGCACAGTATCCTCCGACAGGGGCCGAGGAGGGGGGGTAGGGGAGAAGCAGCCTGATGGGCTTGGGGTGGGTGTTGAGTTGAGGCTTTTGTTTGCTGGGCTTGACCCCTCCGCATAATGGATTAGCAGAGAATCAATCTTAACCGCGAGGCACGGCTGGCTCCTTTGGCGCGTCTCTCTGGCTTCCCCGGCTGGGGCAGCCCAGCTAGCCTGCCGCAGGCAGACAAGCCGCCGAAGAGTCTCGTGGCACCTCGAGGCTGGCGCAGTTGTCGTGCCAGATGTTTTCGTGGAACGAAGCCCACGTCATCAGTTATCCTCACTTGCAGGTACGCGCGCACACACAAACAAACACACACACACACACGGTGGGGGAGGGCAGTGTAAACAGTGGCGTCAGAGGGAAAGGAAATGCAGAAAGTTAAAACGGGGATATCCATACATGAATAGATGTGTGAAGTGCAAGATTAATACCCCCCTTCCCCAAAGCCAGCCAACGGTTATTTTATTTTTTCGTTTGAGCAGAAATACGGTACTGGCCCATTCGGAAAAGGGAGAAATGACTTTTAAAGGATCGCTTGCTTTTCTCCCATCACTCCGCTTCTCCATCACTACAGTTTCTTTCGCACCTTCCTTCTGAGAACCCTGCAAGTACCTCCATGGTGCATGAAAAGATTAGCTGGGGATGGGGTGGTGGAAAGGGTTTGCCCATGCTTTTGCTTTTTGTCATAACAGAAATGTATACCTTCCCCAACTCTGTACAGATCTGTTGCTTCTCTAAAAGTTAACATAAAAAAAGGATACATTACAATTCTGGGGGAAACCAAACCACTTCCCAAACTTCTGCCAAGCAGAAACCACACTTGACAAAAGCCCTATATACTGCATTGGAACTTGATGCTATCTTACCTGGAAACTATGTGGAAAGGTATGCTTTGAACACTCATATAGGAAATGCAAGTAAATGAACTTCTATCATGGCATTTGATCTCTCACCATCTTGCAAATTCAGATATATATTTTTAAATGTTAAGCTCCAAGCTGTGTTCATGTATATGTAAAAAAATTAATCATTTTCATCAGTAAGCAGATCTCTGTATCTTTCAATCAGTACATGTATAAATTCAGATCCAATTTGCATGGCACACAACAAAAAACCTTTCACTTAGATGTACCTATCAACATTTTCCTAACACTGACTACATGGCAAGGTTTGAAAACCCATTCCTATTGGTTGCAGTGGCAATTACTTGAAAATAAGGCTGCAAAAACGTGCAAGGAAATAAGGCCCATTGAGCACAGTGGGGCTTACTTTCATGTAAGCATCTAATTCTATACAATTAAAAGTCTGCAATTCTAATATTTTCTTGGAAATAATTTCAGGGTGCCATAAGTATGCAGCCTTGTAACCCAAACCCCTGCATATTTACTTGGAAGAAAGTCTTACCGAGTTCAGTGACAACTTACTTCAAAATAAGTGTATGTTGCAGCTTTTGTGTCTCAAATAGTCTCCCAGGATGGGCTCATTAGTCATAATCTATCACAATCTGAATCAAATGCCTAATGATTGCATTGGTACTTACATCATTCTAGGCTTTCAAGCTGTTCAGTCACTAAGTGCTTGCATTTTGATAAGCACATGGTCTAGACTAGGTGATTTTGTATGTGTGCCTGCCCATTCTATATACTGAATGCATAATTGGGACTCTTGTAAAACGTTTCTGAAAGAGTCACTTTCTGAGTAGAGGTCTATTTCACTCCACAGTAACCACCCACTTGCCTATCTGCCAATCCAAACTGATGCTGGTTGTGGGACAGCCCCTCTTGCCATGATAAAAAGGCAAGATGCTGAAGCTGAATGAATCAGGAGCAGCTGCAGCCGCAGAATAAGAATAAGATCAGCACCATGAAAAACCCCATGTATGAAATAGCATCCCTGCTACTGGAAAAGTTTCTGCTGCTTGCCAACTTCAAACTTCTCGGTGTGGGCTCTGGTGCAGAGGAAGAAGAGAAGAAGAAACGATGCTGTTATTATGATACCACCTATTTCAAGCCAGGGGATTTGCTGGAGGTGCCCCGAACACTCTTCATTCATTTTGGCATCTACCTGGGGGATAACCGGGTGGCTCACCTTATGCCAGATATCCTGCCTGCTCTCACCAACGACCAGAAACAGATCCAGAAGGTGGTGACTAACAAGAGACTCATCTTTGGTGTCATCACTAAAATGGCCAGGATCCGTGTGGACACAGTGGAAGACTTTGCCTATGGAGGCTCTATTCTGGTAAACCACATGGACAAACTCTTCAAGAACAACGTCCTGCGTGATGAAGAGGTGGTCTGCAGAGCAGAAAAGCTGGTGGGTGCCACTGAATACAGCTTGCTGTGGAACAACTGTGAACATTTTGTGACCTTCTGCAGATATGGCTCACCAGTCAGCTTCCAGACTGAGAAGGTAAACTACCACTGTACAAATCTAGCCAAGCAACCTGGCAAAAGGATTCTGAGTCCTTGCTTTGAGAGCACAAAGGGACAATTGCACAGTGGCTTATCTGTATGGGACTCTGTGTTGTGCATTTATAACCTATTTCTATAAGCATTTCTCACTTGCACTTTCCTTCCCCCAGAACATAAAGTAAGCTGCATGAGTTGAGGGTGTTTCATTTTTGGTTCAGTCTTGTGCCTTTAACTATTAGTAACCAACCGTGTTCCAAAATCTCTAACAATCCATAAAAAGATATATAGTGCCTTTTATCTTGGTGGTAAGATTCAAATCCAAGCTTTCCTTGCCTGTCCCAACAAGACTGCTATCCAAACACTTAATGTATCTCTGAGCCAGAATAAACAAATAAACAAAAACAAAACTGTCCAGCCATTCCATCGTCTGCGAACAGGTCAGTGTGAGATGATGCTGCCAAGGAAGTATAGAGATCCTGCTGTAGCACCGGCTATCCAGTTTTCCTGTCTGAAAGCAAACCTGGGCAGAGAGCTATTCAATTCCCAAAAGATTTTAACTAGAGCCTTCTCTGTTGAAGAGAAATTGCTCATCTTCCCATTGCTCCTAAGGAATGGAATTTATTATTATTATTATTATTATTGTTGTTGTTGTTGTTATTCAGCTCAGGATTTGACTACACTTACAGTCCTTTTAAATTTTGTTTCTTGCAAGTCAAAAGTGCGCAAGTCATTGTTTTAACATTTCACCTGCCTCTCTTAGATCCAAGCCCAGACCTCTAGCAAGGGCCCACTAATCTAAATAGAATTTGGCCTTGGACTGCTGACAGAATGCTAGATTTGGTATTTTGAGTACTTTCTACCTAGTGACAATGGTGCTGGTTGCAGGAATTGCTATATAGTGTATATATTTCCCCCTGCTCCCCCCCCCAATGAAATGGTGATTCCCTGAAAGGCTTACAGTTCAAGGCTGTTGCAGATTCTGGCTTTTTAATACTCATGCAGAAATGGATAGGGCTAAGGGGTGCAACACTGGCCTCTGTCCCTCTTTCCTTCCCTCCCTTCTCTTATGCCCTCTTGTGTCTCTGCCTCCCAAAGGCTTGCACAGCTGTTCGTTCCAGCAGCCCTGGCTAAAAGCTCCCCAGGTGAATGGTGCCTCTGTGGCTGGCCAGGGGGTACTTCCACGCCCCCATGGGGCAGTGTGATGAGGCACCTCACTTTGGGGCGGGGGGGGCAGCTCAGAGACCAGGGGCAGCAGCTGCCCAGAGGACTCCCAAGGAGAGGAGAGGGGAGAGGAGGTTGAGGGAACACTCCACAAAGGAGGGTGTTTGAAAAAGGGCGAGAGGCTGCCAGCTCTGCAGGCAAGGGGTGACATAACTGGGCTCCTGAGCCCCAATGGGGTGCCGCAGAAAGAATGTAGCTGGTCAAGGGAGCCGTGGACTCAAAAGGGTTGAAAACGTGTGGGCTAAGGTATGTCCTTTCCTTTTCCACTCTCATCTTTAGTGTGTGAAAACTTCTGATTCATTGGATTGGCTGCTATCTAAAAGCAGAGCATGTAAAACAGCCATCTGAAGCACAGCACATCCTCTGCAGAACTTGAGTTCAGTCCCGTTTTGCTGAATGTATGTTTTAGTCAGCATTTATTTCATATTGTTGAGGGTGGCCCTATGTGAACCTTTCACCTCAAGCTTAACAGTGTTAAGGAAATAGGTCTCTCTTCATATGGGACAGCTGGGTACAGGGAGTGAAAATGAACACTGGTTTAGGTTGTACACTGTGTACTGTTCCAACAGGCAGGGGTTTGGCATTGCAAAAGTAAAAAAAAAGTTCATCTTTCCATCAGAGGGTAAACACAGGATATTTTTGGTGTGGTTTAGCAAACATCTAAATGTGATGCCCTGAAATTCAAGGTTATGATTCTCCTTTGTAGCTTTAAGGTGGAACGGAAATATCCTAACAGGTGGTACTAAGAGCAGAGCTGATCTCTTCTCCACCATTCAAGAGAAATAAAGGTACATTGTGCAGAGACTAGGAGCAGTATTACCAGCAGCCCCAGGTTAGCTCAGAGGCGTGCGTTTACAAGCTGAACTTGATGAAGTCTGCAAAAGGAAGTACGTCAGATTTATTTAGGTACCAAGCAAATAATTTCTTGTAGTAGAGGCAGTGTTTCTGGGTGGCTAATTAGAATGGAACACATATTACCTCTCTGTGCCCAATGCAGGCAGGAACAGAGCAAGGGCTATTTTGCTTTAATTTCTCTCTCTCTCTTAAAAATATTGAATCTGTGTGAAATGCCAATGAAGTCATTTAGGTTTGCCAGGTTTCTGACAGACAAAACCAGATTTTAATTGGTGTTACTGTTCAGCACTGTTAATCTAACAGAGTTTTTGTATAGTGCTTTATTAGTCTAATAAATGGCTTGGCTGGAGAAAACTTGCAACTTTTAAACCCTTAAGGCTGCCTGGTTTAGTTTTTAAAAAAATAAAATTGGTATGTTTCCTTAAGAAGTAGGACAGCTAGTTCTGAAGCCTTCATTTGTTCATTTTAAATACACTTTTAAAACAAAAGCCAACCCCCACTATTCACTACTCTACGCCTCACTTGGATGTCACTGGTGGATTGGCACATTCTGAAGACTATTCTTTCCCCCTTTCTGTTCATTTCACTCCTGCCATCTCATCCCAATTCAATACTCTAGTAAATAGTAAATGTGCAGGTATCACAGTTCTGCTGACGTTTTGTCCTGAAACCACAGGAATGATGGGGTAGTTGAGGTGGGGGTGGCTAGAGAGTAAGCAGTCAAGGCATTATCTACTTTCAGTCCATCAAAACCAACTTGCTGGAAAGCACTGAAATACCATCATGTAAAAGTTAGCAGAGAACTGAAACCAAATTCTAGCCAATGTCATCATGCAGTACATAACATAATTATCCAAATGGTTTTAGAAACACACACAGCAACTGGAGAATTAGAAATTCAGATGGATGGGAAGTGGGTTCCTGACCACTGGGGTACCTACTCTTAACCTGTAGTGTCTCTCTGTGGTCTCAGGTAGAGCTGTTTCCCTGCCCTGCTGCCTTGAGATCTTGGAAGTTTTGAACCTGTGGCATTTTGCATGCAAATGGTGTGCTCTTCCACAAAGCCAGGAGTCATCCCAAATAAACAAGGGTGCTTCAATATCCTTTGTAATATCACTGAGGATGTTGGGGTGCATCTCTTAGATCATGCGGCATAGTTGCTTGTAACAGCCAAACATTTTGGACTAGCCCTGCTAAATTTCATTTAAAAAAATTAAATACTACGTAAGTCAGTTTGCTATATAACCTCCTTCCCTGGAAGGTGGTGGACTTTCCTTTGTTCAACCAGGACTAGCTGGTCACTTTTTGGTGTGTTGTAGTAGCAATTCCCTGCATCAGCAGGAGGTTGAACTACATGAGCTTTAAGGTTATTGCTAAATCTATGATTCCATGCATGCATTTATTTCTCAACTGGAAGCAGCCCTTAATTTGCATTCTAAAAATTTCTGCTCTGATTTTTGCAGTTCTGTGAAACGGTGAAGATGATTATTCGGGACCAGAGGAGTGTTCTTGCTTCAGCACTGCTGGGACTGGTTTCTATACTCTGCCTGGGTCTGGCACCTTCTACTACCCTCCCTACCATCATTATTCCATTCATTTTGTGGATGGCGGGTTAAAGGCATCCACAGAGCTTGTTAGAAGTTGTAAATAGAATGTACAATGTATTTATGAAAGCTCAAACACCTTTCTAACATTGTGTACAGAAGAAAAATGTGGCATCCAGTTGTGTAATGATTTAAATGCATCATTGGCCAGAATATGTACCTAATAGCTTACTGTGTAAGCCACTAGATTTTGTGAAAATCTTTCTAGAAGGCAAATTTAGCAATGGGTTCATGGGATTTACTCCCAAGCAAGCATTCCTAAACTGCATTCCTAAGCTCAAAAGTGAATTCTAATGAAATTTATAGGTCTAACTCCCAAGTAAATGTGCATAGGCTTGGACAATAAGGGTAATATGGGAAGAGGTGTCTTTCAAAATATCAGTGATACAGGGTATTAGAGTCCTTAGCTAGTTGAGAGGGGACAAATAGGGAATGAAAACAAGCTACTAGCATTCAGCATCTCTTCTAGTTGTACTTTGAAGTCTGTTGTTTCTAAACCAAATGCAGTGGGAATAAAATAAGTCCAGATGTGTGTTTTTATTGTTGCATATTTAACAACTTCTGACTGGTTCACCTCTGCTTTTTTACATTTCTAATTTTAGACTCAGCTTTACAGGGGCCACCTCTTTAGATAGTAATGTGTATTACTTCACTTACTTTAAAGCCAGCCCTGCTGCGTTTGGGGGACCTCCTGCTCATTCTGCTGAGGGGGGCCCTGGACTTCTGTCCCAAAGTTCTGCCAGTGAGTTTTATAAAGTGGGAAGTTAATTCATCAAGAGGTTCCCCATTTAAATTACAAACTGCCTCCCACCCTCCTGCCTGGATTTAAGGGCTGTGAAAAAACTGCACCTTCCTAGAGCTGTCCCTGTTATTAAATGTTATAAATCATGCCGGAAGTTTCTGAAGTGTAAAGACTAAAACAGTTTGGCTGGTACAAGTGGCTAACAAGCAAGCAAAAAAAGAGAGAAAGGCTGTGTTTTGAGGGAAGATGAAAGGAGACTGCCTTGCTCTTTAATCTTTTCTTGACAATGAGACCAATCGGGTTGGAAATCATGAAGCTGCTTTATGACAGCTAATGCACTGGGAAGTGGGAAGCATGTGTCATCATTGTGTCCAGGGCCAGACCTGCCATTAGAAAGGGTGAAACAACCTGCGCCAGGCAGCAGATTTCAGGGTGCTGTAAAAAGTGTGGCAAATTGTCGGTTACTTAGACCGCAGTGCTGAGTACACTTACGTAGGAGCTACCACAGAGCGATTAAGAACAAAAAAGATCGCTTGCGGGGTCAGAGCACCCCCTCCCCCCCAAGCAGGGCAGGAGGCACAAGAGGCCTCTGCCCTTGTTGATTCCTAGCAAGCTAGAGGCTGCTACTGATATATGTCTGAGGAAACAAGAATACTGTACAATTGGGTGGCATATTTGTTAACATAACACTGGAGTGTGTGTGTATGTGTGCTGGAATTTCTACCCTGGCCCCTAACCTGTCTTAAGCCATTTCTGATTGTGGGCCAGAAGAAGCCTCAGAATTCAGTATCTGGTATTTAAAACAGAAGTGCTTCTTAACATAGTCATGTTCCTTCTCACCAGTACCAAAACCCACATCTTGACATCACAACCATGCATCCCTTTATTGACGCATGGCTGATACCTATGCTTTCTGCAATGAAAGTCCTCCCTTGTGTTCAGTCTATGATGCATTAGAGTTTTTTAAATCTCTGATAAAACAATGGGATAACCCCCCCTTTAAAACTCAACTGGCTTGCGTATATATATATATATATATATATATATATATATACACACACACATACATACATACCGTATTTTTCACCCTATAGGGTGCACCGGCCCATAGGGCGCACCTAGTTTTTTTTTTTGGGGGGGGGGAATAAAGAAAAAAAAATCCTCCCCCCCCAGGCGCGGGGATGGGGCAGGGGAAGCCCGAGCTTCCCCCGACCCCAGCCCCCAGAACAGGCTGCTATCCGCAAGCCTTGGGAGCACGGCGGGAACTCCCACGGGCTCCCAAGGCTTGCAGATAGCTTCCTGAAGCCTGCATTCGCCCCATAGAATGCACACACATTTCCCCTTCATTTTTGGAGGGGAAAAAGTGCATCCTATAGGGCGAAAAATACGGTATATCTATCTATCTATCTTATCTATCTATCTGCTTTACACAGTTCCTATAATCTTCTCGGCAGGGGCTTGTAATTGGTCAAATAACTATAAATCACCCGGTTTGCAGATGTTGAAGGAAACAAAATAGCAGGTGGCCAACAATGCCTTTATAAAAGAGAGAAGATACATTGAAAAAATGGGTTCTGCTTATCTTCTCCCCACCTGTCTTAGACCTAACTTACTAACTGTGGTTAGTTGCTTGTGTAAATAGACACTCAGTGTTGGAGCCAATTATGACTATACCAGGGAAAGCCATCAAAATTAAATGTTTCCTGGCCGTTGTTGAAATGGACTCAGACCACATGGGTGCATATTCATACCGGCTGCTAATGGCTCACAGAGTTACCCATTGTTTTCTGGTGGTGATGTCACTGCACTGTACCTTACGTTTAGGTTACTTCTACCTGGGCACCTGTTCCCAAGTAGGTAATATACAGTTTGCCAGGCCAATTCAAACTGCCCCAAAATAGCTGCAATATAGTCTGGACTCAGTAATGCAGGGGTAGGCAAACTGGTGACCTCCATGTTTTGGACTATCAACTCCCACGATCCCTGGCCACCATGCTGGCTGGGGCTGAAGAGAGTTGTAAAACAAAACATTTGGATGACACCACATTGACTATCTTTGCAGCAAGCTGCCTGAGCGTAAGATGAAGACAGTTTTAAAAAGTGAGATAGCTTAATGGTGGGGGCTTGTAAATGGAAAACTAGTTGAAGAAGTCTAGGGCTGTGATTCATAGCTCCAATAGAACTATCTGGAGTAGAGCACCCAGCCAATGCATAATGACTGGTGTGATCCCAACTCTACTGCTAGCACACGTGAACCCAAACAATGTGAATGTGGGGCCCTTCCAACCATGCCATTCCCTCTTTTTGAGATGCAAATTTGAAAAACTTCCTGCTGTGGTCAGTTTCATTTGCATGGGAGCCTTTTTTCCTTCTGCAAAGGGGGTGGGTAGGAGGGAATAAAACACCGACTCTGCATCCCTGATACCCACAAGCAATACAGCAACTCTGCTGATCTCTGGTAGTCCAGATCTTAGAGTGAGGAGCGGTTGGAGGCATAGTCTAAACAGGCAACTGCTGCAGTAAAACACCATGGCAATTGGTACTTCTTGCACATGATCATCCCTTTCTCTTTAGCATTACAACACCAAACCAACTGGGGGAGAAGCTGCAACTTTGGATGAGCTGAAAGTCATAGCAATGGGAGGCACAGACATGCTCTCACAAGGAGACAAAGCTTGACCCTCTCCCAGTGAAACAAAACTTTCGGTTCTGAAGGGTTTGTGAAATGAACAGAAGTTGCTGGCAGGAGCAGGGGGCAAGTGCAATGAGGACAGAAGCAGGGAGAAAGAAGGCAGTCCTCAGAATAAAGAGGAGCTTGGCCCTCCCTTCTCTTCCAGATTGTATAGTCCTGTCATCTTCTAGATAAGATAAATGGCCTCCATCAATCATCCCCTGCAGCCCTCACAGAAGCTGGCTATCTGCTTGACTCCTGAAACATACTGGCCTCCAACTGGGGGGTATTGCTGATCTGACAAGGTGCTCTTTTCTGAAAGAAGCCCCTAGGGGTTGATCATTTGCATAATGGTTTATTGTCTCCACAAAACTCAGCCATGCTTCCTACATTTTCCCAGATGATGGAATTGAGACCAGTTATTTGGGACAAGCAGGTAATTGTGAACCAAATGGAAATCAAAATGAATTTGTCAAGGAAACAAGGATAGTGCCACCAACCTTATAATTTACTCCCCCCCCCCCCAGCATGTGGTAGAATCAATGCACGCCACTTCATACTCTCAATGAAAAGAAAGAGCTGTAGGAAACAAACATCCATTATTTGCAGACTTATTTTAAATCGGAAAGCACTCAGGGTAAGACATTTTGCTGCCCGAGGCGAGAACAAGATTGTGTCCCTTCCCATTTCATATACAGAAAGCAGCTGAAATGGCAGTTGAATCTTGCTTTAACACTAGTACAGTATCCTTCACTGCATCTGAAGACAGCAGGCTAGCTTAGGGTATATCTGACAGGACATATGACACTCCCTGCCCTCCTGCCTCACTCTACCTAATAGTAGGGCTGGTCCTGGTTATATCCACCATAGAACAATTATGGCACTTATCCATATATACTTTCTACGAATCTGAAGAGTTTTGTATTGGTGTTTTAATGGGGAAGCCCATGACTCCTCAGAAGGCTTCTGAATATTAACTGTCGGTACAACCCAAAAAATTAACTGTTGCTCAATCCTGGCTCAAATTCCAGTGCAACATAACCCACTGATAGCTTTCTTCTATGGCACAGCTTTTCAGTACAGTAGTTGGGCATGAGAAAAAATGGAGGACAGCATTAATGCCAGGTTCCTTTAAAATTTATTTCTTGTGTATGAGACTGATTAGATCATATCTGCTTCTCTTTGGTGATGATTCACAGTTTACCTGGGCTGCACTGCCTGTGTCTTGGTCAGCATTCTGTGAGTTGTTCATCTACAATGGAACAACAGGAACAACTAGTACAATTCTGTAGTGATGTTCTCTGTCCCACTTGTTCAGTAGCAGAAGTTTCAAAGCTGCAAAGTACTGTTTGTACCACAGCAGCTGAAGCCAAGTCTGAGGTTTTGCATAGACAAGATTAATGGGGAAGGAGAAATAATTTATCTTGCTTTTTTCTGTGCATGAGAATCAAGATTCTAGTTCTTTTAATCATTTGCATTGACTTAAGGGATGTTTGCTGGAATGCAGGGATTGGGGACCCATGACTCTTCAGATGCTGTTGTATGACATTCCCTTATCATTGGCCGTGCTGGTTGAGGCTTATGGGAACAGAGATCCAACAACATCTGGAGATCCTCAGGCTCCCCATCCCTGCTGTAATGAGAAGCCCTGCCCAAAATTGTAATATTTAAGGCAAGTGATTATTCAAAGAACTGAGGCCACACATGCCACACTTCAGTCCTTGCTTAGCGGCATCCTCCTGTTGAACTGAACACTGATACAGCATTATTATTCCTTGGTATTACGGCTAACAAAATATATAGGCAATCTTCTTAAACTGTCTGAAGTTTCAGTCTGATAGCTGACAATGGTCTGCCATTATTAAAGTAAAATGATCTACCTGTGTCAAGTGACAGGTGCACATGGGAGATGTATTCATTGAAGTGAAGCTTGAATGCAAGACACAAAAGCACATATGATTCTGTCAGCCTCGTGTTCTTCTGCACTTTCTGCTGTGAACCTTATCCTCATTTTGCAGGCCATAATGCACTTTATAACAACAACAACAACAACTTATTACAGCAAAAGTCTGTACAAATGCTGAACTCCCTTAAGTAGATAAGACTGCAAATTAGGGTGGCACTTCTACTGTATGTAGTAAGAGTGCTTGAGCTAATCAATGAAATATTCCAATGATCTAATTAAAAACCATCCCATAAGAAAAGCAAATTCCATCCGCGCATACATCCGCGCAAGATCCAGAATATTTTTTACAAAAACATGTTGAAGTAATAAAAATAAAAATCCAAACTAAAATGCAAGATATGGATTTAAACAGAAATAATTACTGTATTTTTTGCTCTATAAGACTCACTTTTTCCCTCCTAAAAAGTAAGGGGAAATGTGTGTGCATCTTATGGAGCGAATGCAGGCTGGGCAGCTATCACAGAAGCCAGAACACCAAGAGGGATTGCTACTTTCACTGCGCAGCGATACCTCTTGCTGTTCTGGCTTCTGAGATTCAGAATATTTTTTTTCTTGTTTTCCTCCTCCAAAAACTAGGTGCGTCTTGTGGTCTGGTGCATCTTATAGAGTGAAAAATACGGTAGGTTAACTGTATTTTTAAGAACCCCCCCCCCCAAGAGAATGTTCAGAAATTGGGACTCAGCAATTTACTAGAACATAAACGTAGGACTTAGAGATGGATCACATGCCACTGTGAAAACAATGTGGGCAGAAAGTTAAACTGTAATTACAGTGTATGAAAACGGTATTTTAAATTCTGCAAATAACATTTAAGATATTGAGTTTTTAATATCGCTGTATTTATTATATATAATGTGTGTGTAAATGTTGTTTTAAAAAGAGAGAATGTAAAGTACCCGATAAAGCTAAGTGGAAGCAACAAAAAACACACAATCACAACTTAGTTTTTCTGGATTAATACTTATTACTGATTGCATTGTACTGGTGGCAGTGAAGCCCTGCTGCCTACAGTAGTACCCTTTTAACCTTGAAAGAAACAGAAAAGAGTTTGAAACAAGGTGCTGAATGCAAGTGAGATTCGATGATGGGAGAGAGAGAGAGAGAAACAGTGGAACACGCAAGCTGAAGTTGGGGCGCTTATCTGGAAAAGCAGAGATAGGTGGTGTGTGTGTGCTATCAAAAGTGGTAGATTGCAAGGGCAGGTTAGCCTAGCAGAGCCAGACATACCCTTAGGCAAAATGCCATGACCACCTCAGGTGGTAGCAGTGAGCTGTTGCTCCTGTGTTACTGGCCATTGCCCTCTGTTGGAAGACAGAGCTGTTTATGCCACACAACCTGACCTGGGACCCTAACTTAGTCTGCTGCCCCAGGTGCGGTGGAGGGTGCTATTCCATTCCCTTCTCCCTCAGGCTGAAAAATATCCTGGGCAGGTCCTGAGGTCAGATCATTCTCACAGAAAGGAGACACAGCGAGAGAGAAGAGGTGCAATTGTGTGGTGTGTAAAGAGACAATGACCCAACTGCCATGGCAACGAGATCATAGTCCTGCTTTGCAATATCTAGCAAGACAGGAAGGAGCAGCCTGGTGATCACAATGGCGTCTCACAATACTGTGAGACTTGGAACTTCTCATGGGAATTCAGAAAGAGGTGGGCACTGGTAGAAGACAGGGGGTAGGCGGAACTAATAATTATAGTTTTGTCCCCATTCTCCTCCCTGCCGAGTTGTACATGGTCAACACTGAGAGCTAAAGATGAAGTGGATAGGTTGTGCTAATCCCTGAAGTGTTTGTAAGCAAGATGTCAGGCAGGTGGGGACTGTCTGAGAGCAGGATGAAGTAGATGGTGCAAAGCCCCATTCATTTTTATAGACCAGTCTCCACTGGGCAGCATGCATAAGGCTGGCTTTAGAACTGTATGTAAAGACCAGATGGCAACAAGCCAAGAAAGGTAGACACTGCAGGCTGCAAGTCCAGGGAAGAAGAGAAGGAAAACAAAGGTGATGATTGCCAGCACATTTCTGCTGAAGCTCGGAAAATGGCCACACTCCTTCTACAGTCTGTGCAGAATAGGGGAGAGGGCAAGGTCAGCTGGTGTAAAGTGTGTGGAACACTCAGTGGACAGCAGAGAAGGGGGAAGAAAGACACAACTGACAGAAACCCATAAGGCAGGGGTGGGGGGGATCCTTTTTCATCCTGAGGAATGCATACCCTTTTGGGAGCCTCATGGTAATATCAGGCCAGAGGCAAAAGTGGGCAGAGCAATGAATATACATTTCACTTTGGTACAGCAGGCTGGTTTCTTCACAAAAAAGGCATTATCCGAGTTCAACATCACATTCCAGCCAGGCAAAAATGCTCAAGGAAGGGGGTGAGGTAAGACTGGTGAGGGCTTTGGTCTGGGGATAGTGTGGCCAGGGAAGAGTCCCAAAAGAGACCTGGAGGACTGCATTTGGCCCACAGGCCTGAAGTTCCACATCCCTGATGCATGAGGTGAGGCCAGAGACACAGCCAAAGGTAAGGCACTGAGGATTTTGAGCAGGGAACTCTGTCTCACTTGGTAGCTTCCGTGCAGAGAAAACTGCTAATCTCTGCTGCACCACCACCACACAGGGCTAGATAAGGTACTGCAACTTTCAACACCAGCAAAATTTAGTGCTGTGAGCAGCTTTTGATAGCTGCTTTCTTTGGGCTTGGCTGCTCAAACTAATTTCTTGCTCAGAACAGGCTGAGCTGTTATGGAGTACCTGAGAGCTGTGCTGAACAGCTGGCCTGCCTCTTGGCTAACAACCATCCCATTCCAGCTCTGGTGATGTGAGTGTCCCACTGCCTCTGGAAAGAAGCTGTGGGGATGGCTTTTTGTTTTGCTTTTTGCACCATATTTTACCAGCCAAAATGTTGGCTGCAGGCCTGCAACTGAGATTCATTTCAGTAGAATCACACTTAGGCATCATGAACTTCCCCGGGCTGGAGCTATTAAAATTTATTGCAACTGTTTGATTGTTACCTGGAAGAAAATATATTCTTTAATATCTTTTCAGCTGTAACGTGGGGAATAATGCTAAGCTGTAAAATGCCTGTTTTTGAATTGCTTCATGGATCATAGGAATGCCTGGAGGCCAAACGGTAGCCTGGTGCCACATTGACTGTAGTTCGGTTAGTGAGGAGAGAGTTTAACCACCAGCCAAATCTGGGCTTAGCCAAGTGGTGTGGGAGCAAAAAAGTGGCAACGTAAGCCAGAGTGAGGGAACATTTGGCCCTTGAGACTTCATTTCCCATCATCCCTGGCCATTAGTCATACTGGCTGATGGGAGTCGGAGTCCTATATGTACTTTTCCTTGCTTATTTGTTTGTTTTGTATCACAAAAAACCTTAATTGCATACAGAGCACCAAAGGTTCCCTATTCCTCTATCAGCCACAGTTTGGCTTACCGCGTTGTGGGAACCAGGCCAGTGTGTGTAGCTATGTTAAATCTTTTCCGTTTCCTTTCAACCCTGCTCACACTTACTTGGGAGTAAGGCCCCCCCCCATGGAACCTACTTGCGAGTAAACGTGCCTTATTCAGCCTATGAGCTGGCAGCTCCCTTCCCATTGGCTGCTTCTGGCCATCGACGAGAATTATTAGACGGGGGAGCCACGTCCGTTGGGATTTACAACCGTCTCCCCTGCTGCGAGAAACCGCGCGCGACGCACCTCTTTAAAGAAAGCGACCCCTCCCACCTGTCCTCGTGCCGCTCCGCCGGGGTTCAAGGGCTCCCATTGGCAGGCGGCCGCCGTCAATCTTTGTGAGGCGTCACGCGAAAAAAGCAGCCGGCGCAAACTCAGACGGGCGAGTGCGGCAGATGCGCGTGTGCCACACGGGTGAGAAGGCGTGGCGCGGCTTCGTGTTCTCCCCCCTCTGTACAAGAGAAGGAAGCATTATTTCCCCCCACCCACCTCCGTCCTAGGCGGTAGGAACCTGCCTGGGCGACAAGGTTGGCAGGTGGTAATGTGAGGGGGTTCAAGTAATTCCTGCCCTGCCGCCGTCGGCGCTGAGCTCCTTTCCCTTTTGCCTCCTCACTCCCTGTCTCGGTTTCTCAAGGGAAGGGGAAGCGGTCGGTCGTGAGGGCTTGGGAAAAGGGCCCACAGAAGGGCGGGAAGGGCGAGGGCCAGTGGAGACGCTCACACGAGCTGGGCGAAGCGACGGGCTCAATTCGAACAGTTTCGAAAGCAGGCCGTAGAAACGGCCTTTCTCCATTTTCTCGCCTTTCCGGAAACAACCGAGGGAGCCCCGGGGTTTAAAGCAAACCACCCCGAGAAAGAGCCGAGGAGAAAATGGAAAGACGGGGTAGAAACGGGAACGGCAGGCGAGCCGGCCTTGCCGTCCTCCCTCTCACCCACGGATGCGGCCTGTAGGCCCTGCCTCTGACCCTTCGCACCCCTGTTCTTGGTTAAGATTGGTCCCCCTGCCTATAAGGTATTGGGAAGCGGGGTAGGGGGAGCCGGCCGGTAGGCCGAAAGCCTGAGGTCCAAACTCCCCGGAAGTTTTGTCGCTCCAAGTTGGCAGACTTGCGCAGCCCAGAAGTCTCGATTTGGCCATATCACCGGCACGTGGGCCGCTTTAGGATCTTGCCCCAGAAATGCCTGGTTTTGGAGTTTCTGTTGGGGTCGATGCCACCATTAGCTCCTGTTCGCGGGAGCATCAGGGACCTGGGTAGCGGTGGAGGCTCTTCGAGAAACCACCACACCCAAATCTTGAAAATATTGTGTTCAAAAGAGGAGGCTTCGGGCGCCCTTCTAGTAAAAGAAAACAAACGCCGCCTCTATAGAAAAGTCACAAGGTGGTTTTGAGTTTCATATTAGAAGCCATGGGGTTAGCGCTCCTCCCCTATCAAGTAAATAATTAAATAAAAGTAACTGAGGACCTGACACTCCCCCAAATGCCCATGTTAGAAGCACTACTAAAATCGTGAATGTGTGCACCAGGAGTCTAGAAATCTCTGATGGCACGTTCTTTGTTAAAATCCGGCAAATGGGGGGGGGGGGGTAGAAAAATTTCTAGTGCAGTATATTTCTCGTGGAAATGCACCACTTTCTGTGCCTGGCACAAGGGGCTCACCAGTATCTCTAGGAAGGATGAGGTTTGGATCTCTTGAGAGCATCAATAAAATGCACTGTTTCATAAAATGAATTGTTCAGTGCCGTAATTATTCCTTCAAACAGAGTAAGGAAAGTGCATGCTACTTGCCATGTTTTACAATATTTACAGGTATTTCAACAAAAACAATTTTCAAGTAAACATTTGAATCAGTTTGAATATATATATATTAATCACATTGTGCAAACCCTTCCTAATAAGAGACATTAATTGACTTGCTTTGGGGGGAAAGGTTTTTATATAGCATGCAGAATTGAGCGATATTATGTATAATAAATGTAAGTCAAACATGCTAAATTGGATCCTAGTTGAAAACCTGCATATTAAATCTATGTTTTAATATGGAACAGACTTTCTTGGGAGGTGGTGGACTCTCCTTCATTAGAGGTTTTTGGCACAGGTCAGATGGCCTTCTGTCATGGATGCTTTAGTAGAGATTCCTACATTGCAGGGGGTTGGGTACCTTCGGGGTACCTTCTAAGTCTACAATTTCAGAGAATCTAGGCTCAGCAATATGTATGCACTGGGAATCCTGGCTTATAAGAAAGAAAGAAAAAGGTTAGTTGCAAACAAGCCAACTTCAAAGCTGGTTAGTTTGAGCAGAGATCTTTTGAAATAAAAAGTAAGCTCAGCAAGTACTCCTTGCCACATGAGAAGGGAAGGGGACTACTGAACCCAACGCTTTGTCTTACCAGAAAATGTGGTTATTTGCATTAACAACAGAAATTGATTGCTAATCAAATAGTTCTTAGCACCTATAAATGGTTAACTGTGTTTCAGTTCTATTTTGTTATTTTAGCTTCTTCCCATTACAGATAATAGCTTCTAGATGAAAGAGGGAGGATCACATTTGAAATAAACAAGAATTACTGAGTCCATTTAGCAGTTTATAAAAGCATTTTCAGAAGCTTGCAGTTCATTGCACATGCACATTTATCTAAAGTAATTCTGCTTATGCACTAATAAAGCTAAAGCGCTATAAACACTTTAAACATTTTATTTCACTTTGCTAGTTTATATTATATTCATACAGTGTTTTGGGGTTCAGGAAGAGACTGTATAATAAAACCATACAGCATGTACTAAAATCTACATTAAAAATTGATACATAACTTAAAACATGATTCTGGAAATTAGCAAGCATATATAGATATATCATGAATTTTCTTTGAAATATATCAGGCTACTTAAACATGTAACTGCTTTTCAATAAAGGTTTTTCAATAATAAGATCTTGACATGAAATAAGAAATTGTGCTTTCTGTTTAAGCAACACTATGAACATTCTATCAGTTTGCAGAAGACGTTACAGCAATGAATGAAGAACACACAGATGTAACGAATGGGTGCAGTAAAGTCAGAACTGGTACTCAGAATGAGGCTGCCTTATTGGCTCTTATGGAAAAGACTGGCTACAACATGGTTCAAGAAAATGGACAACGAAAATTTGGTGGACCTCCACCGGGTAAGAAAGCAAACCTGTGTGTTTTGAGAATGTTAAGCTTTGGAGTGGGAGTGAGGGAACAGATTTTGAATTAATACGTGTAATGTAGGTCAATTTAACATTGACTGAGAGCTCTGTAGTTAGTTTTTCAAAGAGCGCATATCCTTTTTGTGCTTAATGTTACAGGAAACTACTTTCTATAATTTGACCTATCCCAGCTTAAGATAAAGTAACTGGATTCAAGTTGATTTATTCCTGCTTGTTAGACTAGGCTATAATTCTGACCAAATTTTGCAGTAAATTCAGTTGAAATCACTAACTAGCAGGAATGGGGTAGGGGAATAGAACTGTTAAACTATTTTCAAACTCCATTAATAAAACAGATATTTTACCCCATCTGTTTATCATACAGGAAGCAACAAATTATAAATTTCCTAATGTGTTAAGACATGTATGTTAAAGTTCTTATTGGCAATGTATCTTGTCTCACAGCATTTGTAATAATGTGCTGAACAATTTTTTTAAGGTTGGGAAGGTCCACCACCACCTCGAGGCTGTGAAGTTTTTGTAGGGAAAATTCCCCGTGATATGTATGAAGATGAACTAGTTCCTGTTTTTGAAAGAGCTGGGAAGATCTATGAATTTAGACTGATGATGGAATTTAGTGGTGAGAATCGTGGATATGCATTTGTAATGTATACAACCAAAGAAGAAGCTCAGCTTGCCATTAGGATCCTTAATAATTATGAGATCCGTCCTGGAAAATTTATTGGTGTTTGTGTAAGTTTGGATAACTGCAGACTATTTATTGGAGCTATCCCAAAGGAAAAGAAGAAAGAGGAGATCTTAGATGAAATGAAAAAAGTTACAGAAGGTGTAGTAGATGTTATTGTTTATCCAAGTGCAACTGACAAGACAAAGAATCGTGGTTTTGCATTCGTAGAATATGAATCCCACAGAGCTGCAGCTATGGCACGAAGAAAATTGATTCCTGGTAAATCTTTGTTTTTCATATAAAGTGTAAACACATTCTTTTCAAGCACTTCATTCCTAGAAATGGACTTCACTAAGAGCTAACCTTGATGAGATAGTGGCAGGTTCTTGTTCCCTAGCCATGTAGAAAGGAGTGGTGAATCTGATTAAGAACAAAATGGGCAGCACATAGGTGAGGAATGCTGAATTATACCCCGGCTACAGTTTACCTTGAAGCCTGTGTTCAAGTCCTTTTCTCCCACACACTTGTTCTTAAAATTGGACCACCATTTCATAGAGTCAATTTGGGTTTTTATTATACTGATCTGCTGCCATCACAGCTAGTTCAGCCCTTAACATACTGAAGTGAGAAATGAAGAAATGACAATGAGCCTTCTTACATAAAGCAATTTTGTATTTTTCCTGTGTAGCCGAGAGTTGATTTTTGGCTTTCTTCTGATTTGGTTCCCTGCAAATCAGCCACGATGCCCCATCCCACATTGCTTATGACAGCCATAAACCATTTGGAAAGACTTTTGGGGGTTGTGGGGTGAAGGAAGAAGTAGATGAACATTCTTAGGTAACTATGGAAAATGTTAAAAATTGATGCATTTTCATTTCGTTTTTCTTTCATAGGAACATTCCAGTTGTGGGGCCATACTATTCAGGTTGATTGGGCAGACCCAGAAAAAGAGGTTGATGAAGAAACCATGCAGAGAGTCAAAGTATTATATGTTAGAAACTTGATGATCTCGACTACGGAAGAAACAATTAAGGCTGAATTTAACAAATTTAAACCAGGAGCTGTTGAGCGTGTAAAGAAACTTCGAGATTATGCTTTTGTTCATTTTTTCAACCGAGATGATGCAGTTGCTGCTATGTCAGTAATGAATGGGAAATGCATTGATGGAGCTAGCATTGAGGTAACACTGGCCAAGCCAGTAAACAAAGAGAGTACCTGGAGACAACATCTGAATGGACAAATTAGTCCCAGTTCTGAAAACCTCCTTGTCTTTGCAAACAAAGAAGATGGTCACCAAAAATCACTACCAAAGCCAGCCAGTCTCCCAATTCGACTTAATGGACAGCACAGTCCAAGTCCTCCCGAAATTGAAAGGTGTACTTACCCATTTTTTCCTGGAACAAAGCTTACTCCAATTAGCATGTACTCATTAAAATCTAGTCATTTTAGTTCTGCAGCAATGCAGTTAGATTATTACTGCAACAAAAATAACTGGGCTCCTCCAGAATATTACTTGTATTCAACTACAAGTCAAGATGGAAAGGTTCTACTAGTGTACAAGATTGTTATTCCTACTGTTGCAAATGGATCCCAAAGTTATTTTATGCCAGACAAACTCTGCACAACAGTCGAAGATGCAAAAGAATTAGCAGCACAGTTTGCACTGCTACACTTGGGTAAGTTCTTAAAACTTTTATTAGTGTTGTTGTGGTTCTTGGTGTTCATTATTTTAGCAGGATGAATAATTTAAAGCAAATAAGACTTCATAGTAGCCCCTGGTGATTAGTAAGCAAGCTGTATGGAAAAGCCTGCATTTTATACCCCAGAGATACTTTAGAATCTTTTACATACACCAAGGGATGTAGAGACTTTGTACTTTTTGCCTCAGAATGCACCTGTCAGATACTCAGTTTCATCTTTTTAACTGTCAAGCAGCAGCATGCTAGAGAGCAAGAATACATTTAATCTTCAGTGTAAATCTGATTTTCTTTGTTGTTTTGGACCATGTTCATCTGGGATCTTTGCCTTTAAGATTGAGGCTTCTTCTAGTTTTATTGAAAAGGCAGTGGCAGTTAATTTTCATTTCAATCACATACTTGCGTTGGGGGGGATTGCAGAAAAATAATGATACAGTAAAGTTGTTTGGGGATGGAGTTACGCAAATGCATTAACTTTTCTCAGGGGTTTGGGAGGCATTTACTGTCCTTAGAGATGTGTTTGTCAAGCACCAGCATGTGGCCCTCAGAAGGTGATACAGCTTTTGCAGTTGAAAAAGTTTCCCACCACTGGTTTTTTAAGCTATGAGTGGTAAAATATTTCCCCAAACCTCTTCACCTTTCCTAGAATCTTTTTACAAGCAAATAGTCACTGTTTGCAAAAGCTACCCACTTCCTTTGTTAAAAGGACTAATTTATAGTTGATAAGGCCTTAGAGGTTGTAAAATAAAGGATTTGTGAAAACTCAACCAGGAAAAGATAAAGCATGATTGAGGTCACATCTGCAGGAGAAAGTGCTATCCAGGTACATGATTAATGTTACAAATCAGAAGACATGTCGGACGGGTTATGAATTAAATTATTATTGCCCAGCACTGTGCGTATATGCAGTTGTGCATGAGTTGATTGCATGTAAGTGGGAGGATGCCTGTACAGCATTTATAATCTGAGGGAAGTCTCAGGCTCAGTCAGCTGTCAGTTTGGATTTTTTTCAGTTGATTATACTTAGTTCTACCTTACTTATTTCTTAAGTACCGTACTTATTATTGCTCTGAGTTACCTTTCCCCCAAAACTCATTCCTTTTATATTATTCTTGGATCCAATCTTGCATAGCAGTAGCCTCCTAATTGACTTGCCTGGTGTGACTTTTACATGACTGAAGTATTGTACTGTACAATATGGTCTGGTTGGTGAGGTTTGGTACTGCTGTCTCTGCCGACTTCTCGTAACCAGCAGTTTTAAGAAAGTGAATACCCTATTTCTTAGTGCTCAGACTACACATTCTGTTGGATATTTTCTACTCCTGTATTACAGGGGTTACTATACTATAATCTTCAGAATCGCTATCAGGATTATATGCCTAATCTCTATTGCATTGTCTACTTCCTGCCAACTCAAAGTTCAGGTTAACTTTTATCAATATAAAAGCTGGTATTTGAGAATTTTCAGCACAGTAGCTATAATAAACACTCCACTACCTTTTCTCAATCTAAAATTGAAAACTTTACAGATGATCTGTTTCTTGAAAACATCCTATTTGATATGCCCCATTGATAATATTTTGCTGCTATGCAAAATCCAGAATTGTAGCTGAAGCCCTCAAGAGGAAATAGGTAAAGTAAGACTAAAGGCATAATAATACATATGGTTTGTATAGCACTGCCAAGTATTCAAAGTGCTTCATGTGCATTATCTAGTTGTAATCTCTACAACCTTGCAAGGCAAGTCATTATTTTCCTCCATTTTTGGAGATATGTGGGGACTGAGAGAGGGGGAGAGGGTATTGGTTAAGGCTACCTAGTCAGCTCATGGTTGAGGTTAGATTTGAACTAAATTGTACCTCTATTTTCATCACTACTCTCTATTACTTTTCATATTCACATATAAGTCATAGTTATATGTGAGACTTGAATGATCTCCAGTAAGGATGGGTGAATCAGTCAATTATGGGTTCTTCCAAGTTTCTCATTTTCAGTTTTCACATTTCCCCATCAGTTTGCAATTAAAATAACAATCCACATGAAAATTCATCAGAATTTAGTGTGTATTTTTCCTAATATATTCAGATTTGTATGCAATGTTGCATAATATACACCAGGCACCCCCAAACTTAGCTGTTTTGGGACTACAATTCCCGTCATCCCTGGCCACTTGTCCTGTTGGCTATGGATGATAGTTGTAGTCCCAAAACAGCTGGAGGGCCAAGTTTGGGGATGCCTGATATACACATTTGGCAGAACAGTTTCCCCTAATATTTTGCATTGTACATTGTTTCCACTAATATATGCATTTTTATGCATACTTTACTCCAGTACATGCATTTATTTACACGTTACTTGGCTGGAAAACTGAATTGAAAAATTAGAAGAATTTTTGAGGTTGTTTTGGTTCTTGTATTGGTTTGGGAAGTATGAATCAAATGCAAACTGTATTGAAATCTGTGACTAAACTTGTGTCAGTTTACAGTAAACATTTCATTTTCCTATCTGTATTAACAATTTTCAAACATGGCAGTTCAAGAGAGGCTTAAAAGTACATTTGTTTAGTTAGAAGGCTGGCCACTTTTCAGACCAATAGTGTCACAAAGTGCTTTATAATAACTAAAACACTTCAGTAACAATAATTAAAATACAACAATAAGACAAACATAGAATAAAATAGACGAAAGCCAGCATTGGAATCATGTCCCAACTATTCTAGCTCAATTGTCAACCTCACCCTGTTTTAAAACAATATTTCTTTAGAGCGTGTTTAAAAGAGATAAGAAATGGGGCTTTCCTGACTTCTACTGGAGTTGAGTTCCATAAATGGGGGACCACATCAGAAAAGTCCTGGTTCTTTGTGTCTTATCAGCCAAATAGATTTTACAGGCAGAAATCTTAGGATTTGAGTTGACTGGAATAAGTACAGGAGATAACATAAAGTAATATGAACTCAAACTGTTCAGAGCTTTAAATGTTATCAACAATTTTGGCATGATTGACTTAATCTCTTGGTCCCAGGCAGAAGCAAGGCAGCCACACTTTGTACCAACTGTAGTTTCCAATATATCTTCAAAGGCTATTTGGAGTACATTGCAGTAGTCTAGTCTGGAAATCACTAATGTGTGAATGACTATGGCAGGGTCAAATTTCTGAAGATTGGGTGGTACGACAGCTACAAACTTATGTTGATAAAATGCACCCCTGTACTTTATCTCACTCCTAGTCCTTTGAGGCCTAGTCAAGAGAATAGAAACAGAACTACAAAGTATGCCAACAGAAGGAAGGCCACAAACAAAAGAATACATTGAATCCTTCCTTCTCTTGTGACAATGGCAGTGCCCTCCAAGAGGCAGAAATGCGTCTTACTGTTGCATTTGAGAGATGCACTCAGGACTTGCATGTCCTAAGTTTACAGGAATTATAATGATGGGATACTGTATATAGTCTTACATAAAAGTCTTCCTGTTACACAGTTTTAGAAATCATTTTGGGGGAGTAAATATATGAACACTTTGTCTTAAACATTTTGTTCATCATTTTAAAGAAAATATTTCATCATCCAGATTTTTCCAATTTTTCAGAAAAAAAGCTTCTGAGGGGAAAAGGGGCCTTTAAAAAACATACTATGTTCCCTCCCTCCCCGGGGCCTTCACATTTCTGATTGTTTATTAGAGAAAGGAACCAGCCTGCCACTTCACACAACAGGATAACAACAACAAATCTAACATAGCTAGAGGTTGAGAGATTTTTCAAACAGTCTAAAGTTGTACTTACCATTCAGCTTTTGCAGTTAAGTACTTATAACATTAGATGAAAAATGTCCATGTTTGGAAACACAATTTAAAATGTTATTATCAGATGCTGAGAAGGGAGCTATCACAGAATTGTCAGTTATTGGTAGATATGGAAACCAACTTTAAATTATCTGTATTAAAATGTAAGAAGATCATGGGTTATACTGCCTCAATGGACATGTGAAAGTTTATAGGAGAGAGAAATAGTAAACATTTTTCCTGTGCCAATATATCTGAAAATAAATACAAAGTAACAGATAGGTTTCCTTGTATAAAAGGGATTTTTTGTTTGTTTGGCAACTATGTCCTTTACTAAAACCAATGAGAGTCTGATCAAGTTCATAATCGGCAAGACCCCTGTATTTAGATCTTGTTATTTTAGTATATGTTATGCAAATTTAAACCCTGTGACTTCAATGTACTAAGGAAACCTCTAGATTGCTTTTAATTAGAAATGAAGAGCTCAGTACTTCTGGAACTTGTGCCTTGAGATCAGCACTGCAACAGCATGCTATTCTTGCATTCTTAGCTGGCATATTTGTGAAGGTGTATTTTGCAATGCCAACACAACATAACAGTATTGTACTGCATAATGAATTTTGTGGTGGTTTTTGATGAATGACTTGGTGCCCTAGTACAGGAGGATTGGGGGTTGTTAATCATAACTTCAGTGTGCGGAAGATCAATGCCCTAAAGTGAGCTGAGAACTAAAAAGTTACACGTACATAGCAAACTGAAAATGCATAGTCCAGTTAATTAAGTTCCAGAATTCCATACACTTTTGTTAGGGTTAACATCACCTTGAAGATTGTTACATTCTGTCTCCACTGCTTGCAGAAAGGGTACATAACCTCTCCAGTCTGGACCTGTGTAGGAAAATTTGGAGAAAGTAAGCAGGTAAGTAACTTGATTGAAGAAAAACAAAATGGGCCAAATTCATGCCTGGTTAAACGCTTGGAATTTTCCCCGGAATGAAATCGCCATTTGCAGAGAAATAACTTGTGCTTCGATTATTGCACTTTTATTTTGAATGTTGCATGTAACTTCAGTAATTAATCCCCAATAGTAAAGAGTCACAAATTCTCCTCCATTGTAAAGAGTGATCAGGGTATATATTTAACTATTGGCAGAAATAATATGAAAATATGTAAATACAATATTTTTCCCTTTCATATTTTTTTAATGGCACAAGGAATTTCTGTGTGACAAAAATCATGCTTAAATGAGGCTTTCTCTGACCTCCTTAAGTTGCATATAAACTAATTGATGTTTTATTACTATTTTTTCTGTCCCCCCACACCATCCACTGATATCAAAATGTCTTCTACCATTCATAAAGTTTTATTTATTGTAACTCCTTTTGCTTCTTTTTTGTCTCACCCCCCAAATGCTGATTTTACTGTCACACTAAATTCTTTCCCTTTTCATTTCACATTTTTATCTAGATTATGGCAGAAGCTTATGCATATTATTCATGTTTAGCACCTAGTATATTGTTAGCATGCCTATAAATAACGTTGATGATGTAGTGCCTGTGTTTTGGTTCATTGAGCTTTAAAATATATGTTGAAAAATAAATGGCAAGGTTTATGAAGTCCAAGGAATGAAGTTGGTCTGAACCTGTGTACTCTACTTTAACTGGAGGGCTGCAAATTAAATCATTTCTAACCCCCCCCCATGCCTCCCCCCCCCCCAAATCTTGCCTAGTTCAGGAGAGTAGATATGCTAGTCTACTGTAGCAAAACAAGCCATGATATTTATGGCACTTTAAAAGACTTAAAACAAAGTTATTGTCCATGCAGGTTTTAAGAACTATAGTATAGCATTTACATTTTCCTAATAATACAGCTATGTACTTGTTTTTATTTTGAACCAATATGTAACTCCTCCAAGTCATCTAGAACAGTGGTTCACAACCTTTTTGGTACAGCAACCAACAAGTTTACATTTCCTTGCTGTGGTGATCTATAGCTTCATTGTCGTGTGAATTTTGTATCTTAGGTCTTTGACAACAATCAGCTTTGTGCATTTTAATGGCAAGTTTGCCTATTTTATAACCAACAACTTGAGGCACCCAAAACAAATTTACTTAACACTCCAATTAATGTGCAGTTTGTTGAAATATTTATAGTATAGTACGGATTCCATTCGACTTCCAAGGTACGACGGTACTTACAAAGTGATTCTCAGTTTTGTTTATGGGAATGTCAGAACACCCACCATCTGGATTGCAGGATATTGCTTCAAAAGCTACAAAAATTATTCTATAAACATATGGTTACATAAACAGTGTAGGGCCCCATCTGTACTATATGTTTAAAGCAGTATTATATCACTTGGCTTCCCCCAAGTAATCCAGGAAACTGTTTGTTATGGGTGCTGAGAATTGTTAGAAATCCCTGTTCCCCTATAGAGCTACAATTCCCCAAGTGGATCAACAACCCAGGGATCTCTGGGCATTGTAGTTCTGTGCAGGGGAATGGGTTTTCCTAACAACTCACAGCACCCTTAACAAACAACAGTTCTTGGGGGGAACTGAACTTTGGGGGACGCCATGAGTGTGAAAGGACGTGGGTTTTGCTGTGGTCTAAACCACTGAGCCTCTTGGGCTTGCCAATCAGAAGGTCGGCGGTTCGAATCCCCGCAATGGGGTCAGCGCCCGTTGCTCGGCCCCAGCTCCTGCCAACCTAGCAGTTCGAAACCACGTCAAAGTGCAAGCAGATAAATAGGTACCGCCCCGGCGGGAAGGTAAACAGTCTTTCTGTGCGCTGCTCTGACTTCCAGAAGCAGCTTAGTCATGCTGGCCACATGACCTGTAAAAACTCTGCGGACAAACGCTGGCTCCCTCGGCCTGTAAAGCGAGATGAGCGCTGCAATCCCAGAGTCGTCTGCAACGGGACTTAACTGTCAGGGGTCCTTTACCTTTACCTTTTATGAGTGTGAAAGTGATGTAATACTGATTTAAATGTATAGTGTAGATGGGGCATTAGTTATAATGAACTATACATATTTTTTATTATTTTTTCATGATAAAGTCCATTTTGGCAAGTAATAGTGGCAGTGTATGCGCACATTGTGGCCAACTGTCACCTGATCTGCCATCATCTGCCAGGGAGCAGTTTCCAAGCATTAAAATGTAAGACTTGAACCTTTCTCTTTGTCAACATAGCATTCCAATATGCCAAAGAAGCAAAAAGTTGTAAGAGGTGTTCATTGTTTCAGTTAAGGATTAAAAGTAAAAAATTATTATTTGGGGTTTAATTATAAACTCCACTTGCACAGGCATTGCAAGTTGCAACATATAGGCTGGGAAACACTTTTAGAATATAAGTGTAGCTTCATCCTGTTCCTTTTACGGTGTTGAGAAAATAATGTGGCTTATTTCGACTTGTATTATCTCAGAAGGCATAACTGAGTGGGGAAATTAAGAATTTTTGTTGGTCAATCATAAAATAGAAATTTAATTTGTTACTAAACAGTATTGAATTTTAAGATGCACATGCTGGGAAATTATTTATAGATGTGTTTTTAGCTGTTTTCCTTTGAAAGGCTTGTTGCAGTTCTGCAAGTTATTATTAATGTATTTGCGCAGCAGCAATAATACTTAAATTGTTAAGAGATGTAGGTGTATACCAAGATGCATGGTAGTTAAATATTGGCTAATTGATGTGATAAAAAGTACTGCCACTTTCTTTTTCTCTGAAACTGATTTATTTCTAACTTGTAGATTGAGTCTTAAAGGCAAAGATTTAAAACTTGCTAAGGTTGGACTCTTGGAAACCCATTATTTAAAACACTTCAGTGTGGTGGCATGATAACTCTGTTTCTGCAAAATTAAAGATGCAACTGATATCTATAAATGAATTTTCTGTTAGGCAGGGGCTAATTAGACATTATATGCAACTATGTGAATAAAGCACTGAAGGCTTTCTTACTAGTAAAATACTCTTTTGAAAGGAGGCATTTCTGTTCCAAATCTGATTCCAGGTATGTTTAATCTTCAGAACGAGTTTCTGATGATTCAGGAGGAAAGATGCTGATAATTGGGAGTGGAGAAGGGCAGAGGGAGGACTAAATCTTTTCCACTCCATGTCCTCACCCAATCCCAACAAACAGCTTAAAGATTTTATTCTAAAAGGCTTGCAGGGTTTCTTTATATGCATATGCATATAATGTTTAATTAGACCCTAAGTGCCCAGTATTTGTAGCTACTAGGAACAAAATTTCTGAGCCATCTCTTAGTGTAAGAAGATTTGCAGTTCAGTATCATCCATCTTCATTGCGTTTGACTTTTTTGAGGCTTGAAATGTATAGACAGTTGTTTAGCTGAAGGACAAAGCATGTAAGCTCCTGTCTCCATGTGACAGTCATGCAAATGGCTTTTTCCTCTGCCATGCCATGGGTTATGCGCTGGACAAGTTGTAATGCTGTACCAGGCTACTAGATGGCACCACAAAGTCTTCATTGGGGACATCCAGGGAGGTAGCCAGAGTTCCACCTGATAGTTCATTTTGTACAAGCAAGACAAGTAAGCTCTCTCTCTGTATGGCCCTGTCATACTTTGTTTTAGAGAGCTTTGGCTCAAAGTAGCCCCATGTGTATAGGTAGTCTTCAGTGCTGTTGGTGAGCAGCAAGGTTTTGAGTGAGGAATTTGTAGGTTGCATGGAAATCTTTAGTAAAAGGCGAAAGATGCCTGTTTACATAGTCTAGATTTGCAGAAAACAAAAACAGTGACCATTGTTTTATTTCTTAACTTTTGTTGCTTAATTAAACCTCTGTTGTGCATTCAAACTTAACTCAGATTGTTATTGTTTTTTTACAGACTACAATTTCCGTCGAAGTTCAGTAAATAACATTTCTCCAGTTAGCGCTACTCTCTCTTCTGGAACAACCAGCATGTTACCATATGCATCCAGACCATATTCTTATCCAAGCTACCCTTTGTCACCAACAATTCCACTTGCTAATAGCAACCATGTTGGACAGCGTCTGTATATTTCCAATCAGGCCTCATTCTTTTGAAAAAAAAAGAGAAAAAGCTGGATGAAAATGGAATACGTTTTATTTTATTTTATTTTATTTTAAATCTAGAGTAGTTTTAGTTTTAATCGGGTCCACGCAATTAGTTTTGGTGAGTTAACTTTATCCATTTTACAGATTGCTTATAAATTTACTGAATTTGTGTGAAGATAAAGTTTCAAACATGTTTTTGTTTGGCAAGAGTGGGATTCTTTCAAACGTGACATAGTATTTCATCCCTTGTCTAATTGTAGGTAAGGGAATCCAAGTAATATTTTTTTTAAGTAATTACTTTGCTGAATGGTAGCATTAACATATTTTAAGTGCCTACAAATGTTGGTTATAATCTTGTTACCAAGGATCACACTTCTTTTCTTTTCTCTTGGAGATGGGAAACATTATTTAGTTAAAAAGCAAAGTATTATGTAAGAAGGAAATGATACATATGAGAGATTTATTTTTGTAGAAAAACAAAAACAAACTTAACTCCAAGTGAATGCCTCCAAATTTGACTTCACACAAATAACTTATATACTATTGTGGTCCTTGTAAATCACTTTGCATTTTAGTTGCATCATAAATATTTGTTTTATTAATGAAACAAATTATTTTGTGTTAATTTATCCAATGTTTACATTGTTAAGCATTATTTGTTAAAGGTACTGTTCTATTTGCATGTTGTCATGTTTTTAATGTTTATATCATGTGTTTAATTCCATACTTGAATGCAGACATTTTGACATTAAATTCTTGCTGTATAAAATACTAATGAGATTTGTCTTTAATACGTAAAGTAGTTGTCAGTAAATTTCAAATCAGCTTATTACCATGATTCTGCCCCCTGTGGTGTTGAACCAATAAGTTATCTGATTAAAATGCACATATTGCAAACCACCGTATGAAACTGCAAATAAGGTCCAATTTATAAGTTATTAGAGTGGGTTCTCTGTTGTCCATTCAGTTGCATGCTGTATCACTAACATATAGATACAGAAATGTGGATGGGATAAAGGGCATTGTTCTTTCACCTCCCATCTTGATATCCAAATTTAGGCATTGGAAGGGTTAAGGCACCTCCTGTCTACCACTGCTCCTCTTCTCCCTATTACCCCCTGCTCTGAACCTGGTTTTCTTTAAAGAGCTTCTGCATATAAATATAAATAGCAACATATGTTGTGGGATATAATAGTTGCTTCTCAGTGAAGACAGCATACTTACTTTGAACTGTAGGTGGCAGCAGTGTGCTGCATGAATGGCTTCTAGAGTTTATTTACATCCTGCCTTTGGAATTGAAAATATCAATGCAGCTAGCAAAGGAAATAAAAAACAAATGGGTCTAACGAGCTATGGAAGTTTAGTTTACTTTCTCTTGGTTAACTCTTAGTTAGATAACTAATTCCAAAGATCCATTAGTTATCAAACACTACTTTTAAACTTAGTGTTGTGTTGAATAACTGAAACATTTGCTGCTACAAAAGAAGGAGTTAATCAAATTCTGAATGTGAAAAGAAATTGTCAGTTGCAGCATGAGGAAAGTTATATGGTTGCATTGTAGCAGTCTTGCCTGCTCCCCGTTAATATGGAGAGCATTAATTTGCCACAGTGCTATGTGTCTTCCAGACCTATCCCAAACTTTGAGGAAAAAGGCACCTAGGCAGATGTGCCACAAAGCTGAGAAAAGCTGCTGCTACCTGGTATATGTTTTAATATTAATTTGTATCCATTTTCAGATCATTGGCATAATCCAGGCAGAGCCCTCCCCCTGCCTCATTCCTAATTTCAAATGACCTAAAGTTAAGAAATTTTAGTAAATTGGATTATTTTTTCCCACTAAAGTCAGTGGAACTTGATAATGATTTATCTTGGTTGGCCAATGCTCCATAGCTCCAAACTGGAGAATTTTTTTAGTCTGTAACTTGAATTTGATATTTGTGAAGATGCATATTGTTTAGAAGTAGAATTTCTTTCCCACTAGAAACAATCTGGTTTGTTTGTCAGCACAATGTATATCCAACGTATTTCTCTTCTGGGGAAAACCAAATGCATATATATTTTTTTTCATCTGAAGAGAATGCAAAATAGTTTTCCAGTTTCAAGCTGGCATTGGTTACAAATCAAAAGCAGATGTTTTACTGGTGAGATGGACAGGTTCTCTTTCTTAATGCTTACCCACCAGTTCATTGCTACTTCGACTTCCCCAGACTGATATAAGTAAATGTGGATTGCATTTTGATAGCACTAACTTGACCGTGCTGAACTTGGTACTCTGTACTAAGGAAACCCAGGAAACAGTGCTTAAGTCTAATGCTAGAAAAGGATCTTATACCTGCGTCAACACAGAAGACATGGAGTAAGCTTCCTTCACCTAATGACATGAAGGTTTTTATCCACTGATATGTAGAGAGCCATGGGATAGTGCTAAGAGGAAAATGATACTGAAATCAAGAAAATAACCTGCAGTAAAGCCTTATAAATACAACTATAAAACTTACTGGAGCTTCTGGTTTGGAAAGAAACCTCATAATATTTCAGCAACATTACATTCGGAAAGAAAAAAACCTTACAGTATTTGAAAACACCAGGGTTGAGATTTAGTTTGATTTGTGTTAATTTAGCATTACTCATCACAGCCCACGTTGACAACTTCAGACTCTTTGTTTTGTAATGCAGTACCAAAAAAAATTGAGAAGTTTGTTTCATGTTCATATCTGGAACTTTTCTATAGTGTTACCAAAATGAAACATTCAAATCCCACTGGATGATATCTAGCTGCAGCTGCCTGTCAATTTTCACCGTGGCACAGTGGGATTTCCTTTGCCCCAATAGCCCGCTGCGCACACACTCCAAATCTGTTCTTGAGGTTTAGAGAGCCTTCAAGTAGATTTCAGGAGGATGGGGGCAGAGAGGAAGGGGAAGGCCCTTTGTGCAAGTTGAAGTCCATTTGCACAAGGTTGGATATTTACGTATTTGTTTGGACAGTTTACATACTGCTTAATTACAATTGTCTCTTAAGCGGTTTACAAGGAACACATGGAATATAAAAATGGGTTAAAACTGTAAGATCAGAATTCAGTCAAAATGCCTGCTGGAATAAAAAAGGATTCAGTAGGAAACCTGTTCGACTTCAGCTGGAAAGGAGTTTCATAAAACAGCCTATAGGCCTACAGTGGTAACCATTTCCTCATTGCAAACAGACTTTCCAGACTGTAGGTTCAGCTTCTGTTGCTGCTGTAGCTTTTCTGACATGATAAAGTCTTTTCATAAGATGGTCCCCTCCACAAAATGCCTGAGATGTGGTTCAGCTTTCTTACAAGCTGGCTGACAATGATTACACTTCCTATCTGAAGAATATTCACATCATATATAAAGATGGATGAGTTCTGTCAACTGTCACTTCCAAATGACAACATTTGTCTTAATACTGTATGAGCTTCATAGTTGGCAAAGGCAGAAATTGTTATTTCACATTACAGATGGTAAACTTGTGTTCAGCTGTGGTTTAAAGCCTGACATGTCTGGGAAATTTGCAAAGGGATATTAGTCTGTTGCAACAAAAAACGGTCATGGCATTTTAAAGATTATTGGCTGTAATGAAAGCTGCTATTTCCCTTGTACAACAGACTTCCACTTGTGCAATGGATCTTCTCTCTCCTGCAGCAGCTTGTTCCAGCGGTTTGGAAGGCCCTTTGTAGCAGATTTTGGAGATTGACAGAGAGAGGAAGGGGAAGGGGAACAGTGTGTGCACAGTGTTTGCACAGTGTTTGCAATGCCCCAACAAATTTATTATGGCATAGATTTATGGATTATGGTCCACTTCATCAGATACATGAAGTGTTATCCTGAGTTGCAGATACATATACGTATAGTTAACAGTGAGTTCAGAAGAAAAATAAATGAAGCAAAGTTCTGATAGTAATTGTATCATGGTAGTTCACAAAAAGCCAGTTGTTGATAACACAGACGTCCCCAATGACGTGGTCTCCAGATATATTGGACCACAACTCCCATCACCCCTAGCCAGCATGGTTGTGGAAGGCTGTGATCGTGATAAAGCTGTAGAAGAAAAAAAATGAAGTAATGACTAAGGCTACAATCCTACTCATGTTTACTCAGAAGTAAATTCCATTGAATTCAGCAGGGGCTTATGCTCAGGGAAGCACTGTTAAAGATTGCAACCTAAATTATATCCACATACTGTAAATGAAACTGGGTGCCCAAACATTTAACACTCACTGCTAAAGCTAACAATAGGTACATAACAGAATAATCTTAATAATTCTGATGATTCAACACTGATTTTTTTACATAATAGTATTTAATCTCTACTTAAAAGAACAAGGTAGCATTAAGACATTAGCTGTTCTTCATGTTACAAAGATTTGGGGATTTTGGACAGAATTTTCAAAGTAATGTATACAAAACTCCCCTTTCTTCAATAATTGTGCACAGCGCTGAACATTTTCCTAATTCCATATATATGGGGTTTTCATTATGTTTTATCTCTAATTCTTTTATCATTATCTGAATAGTGGATATCTTCACACAAGAGATAAGAATCACAGAAGAAATTATGCAAATGTTGGTAAGGGAATCTCGGTAGAATATATAGTAGTTGCACCTACAATTACAGTCAAACATTCCAAATACTGTTAAAGAAAATTGCACTGTTGTAAAAATTACTTTTATGCATTGTGTCAAAATGATAGTTCTGACTTCCCACTCAGTAATTTAAAAAAGTGACTGTATATGTATTTCTCATTTCCCCAAAAAGCAAGTATTTAGGAGACTTCTCTCCTAGACAGATTTCTAGATCACATTTAAATAAATATTCTTTTGGTGCATTAACATTATATTAAATGGCATGGAATTGTCTCCTAAAAATACAAAACATAATTGTGGCATGAGTGCATAAAACAATAATCTGGGCACAGTGTTCATGCACGGGTTACCGTGGGACTTCATCAGCACCTACACACTGCAAAACTGATCTTTTAGCAACAACTCTGCCCAGAACAGTGAACACGACCTCCCTAATCAGACAAATCACTTACTAATAGACACTCTACCTTATCTCAGCTTCAGTTCATTGGCCCTCATCCAGGTCATCATTGATCCCATACACTGATTCAGGACCACCACTGCCTTACTTGCCGTTCGTTCTTCACGCAGAGAATGATCTGGGGCATGGAGTGGAGGAGGAATTAAGCATTTATGATTTAAACAAAGGGGTAATGTAGAATTATTTGTCAACTTCCAATGGCATTCTGGATGAGAAGGATCTTTGATTCAGCAAAGGACTTACCTTAACCTGTGTAATAATAGCAAACACATCTTCTGAGTGTGGATCCTTATTTAGCCAAAATGACACCGTCTACACACACAAGGAATGTATCAGCCAGCTGGGAGTAACCAAGGTTTGCAGAATAACGTTGGGAAAGGAAAGTGGGAAACCAAGGGGAAATGGAATGGAGAATCCTGGAAAAGGCTGGAACTCTTAAAAAGCATTCCACACTGCAATATTTTGTTGCAGGTCCTTCTTTAGCTCTTATTTATCTACAGAATTTTGTCTCACAGAGTCAAAAAACAGAATTTGGTTTAATGGCCTGGAACCTCCTTGATAAACCCTTGAACTTTTATTGTCCACAATACAGCCACATGTCAAATCATTTGTAGGTTGCAATCACCATTAGTGAATGCCCAATTTAACAGTTGCATATGTAACATAGTTGTAGACAATTTAGTTTTCAAATTTGCCCAGC